ATTTATAATTTAAGCAAAGAGCCCAATCATAGGTTAATGTTGTAAATTATTGCAAATATAGATTTTTATAATGAGTTATTCATTATCTTTATAAACCTGTTTTCAGGCGCATCTATCAGCCAAGAGGGAAAGTCTGGGGTGGATCATCATCTCTCAATGCCATGGTGTACATCAGAGGTCATGCTTATGATTATGATCGCTGGGAGAAGGAAGGTGCTGAAGGCTGGTCATATGCTGACTGTTTACCATACTTCAGGAAGTCGCAGACTCATGAACTAGGTAAACATTTATTAGATCATTGCTTCCCATTACTCTCATTGCTCATTGCTCATTCTAGGGCATCAAGACCACCAATTATGTTTTTCCGGCTTCTGCTGTGAAGTTTTGAAGACTTAAATGGGACGACAAGTATACTTGAGTATTAATAATTGTAAAGCAATTAATAAACTGTCTGGTTTTTGTAGGAAAGTATTGAAAGCATTGCCATTTAATTAGGCTTGTACAGCCTGAGTGCGCTAGTGGATTTGTCTGCACAATGTTCGTGAATAAATTGATTTTGTTTATATTGTATATTTAGGTCCAGATGATTACAGGGGTGGAGATGGTCCTCTCCATGTGTCACGTGGCAAATCAAACAATCCTTTATATCAAGCATTTATTGACGCAGGTGTCCAAGCCGGTTATCCCTTCACGGAAGACATGAATGGCTATCAACAAGAAGGATTTGGCTGGATGGACATGACAATCCACAAAGGAGTACGGTGGAATACAGCAAATGCGTACCTCAGACCTGTATTGAAGCGTAAAAACCTTCAAGCAGATACAAGAACAATGATCACAAGAATAGTGTTTGAGAAAAACCGTGCTGCAGGAGTGGAATACTTTGTAGGCAAAAAAGTGAAGCGTGCTATGGCTAGGAAAGGAGTTATTTTATCTTCTGGAGCAATAAATACACCACAGATATTAAATTTGTCTGGTATTGGAAATGCTGATGACTTGAAGAAACTTGGAATTCCAGTGAATGTTCATCTTCCAGGTGTGGGGCAAAACTTTCAAGATCATTTGGAGATGTATTTCCACCAGGTTCGTAGTAGAATGTGTAAATTGAAAATTATTGCATCAGTACCTAGCATTGTACCTGACTTGTAATTCATTCAGCTGCCAACACAAGCCTATGTACATTTCCATTGTTCTTGTGTTTTTCAGGAATGTACTCAGCCCTTAAGTTTGTACCGCTCACTCAAGTGGTGGAATATGGTTCCCATTGGAGTCAAGTGGTTCCTCACCAGGACTGGGCCATGTGCCACCGCACATCTGGAAGCTGGTGGCTTCATCCGCAGCAGGGAAGGCCTATCTCACCCTGATATCCAGTACCACTTTCTACCCTCAGCTTTTAAAGATCATGGCAGAGTGACTGTAGAGAAGGAAGCCTTTCAAGTAAGTACAGGATTTACCAGAAATATGTTTTGGTGAATAATTGCACTTTCTCGACTTTTGCGAAGTGAATTATTTATATATACATATGGATGTAGACCTATAATCAGGGCTGGAAAATCTTGAATTTCAGCCTGGCCTTCAGACAAGCAGCTCTCAAATTTTGGTTGCCCTGTGCAAGTTGTAGTTTATGTTTTTTTTATTTACTGGTAGTCAGCAGATGACTTGCTTGGGTGACAATGAAAAGTTACTTGCCTGGCAGGAAAATCTACTTGTTCCAGATGACCAGATGACACTTTTTTGAGCCCTGATAATGTTAACTGCACAGTCATTCTGGAATTGTAAAGACTGACATGCATGCCTGCATTTGAGTGTCTATTTAACAAATTGACGTCAGTTTTTTTTGCATCTGTCCTCTTATTGATGATAAATTGCATCATAACGTTGTCAAAGTGGCTGTGGAACCACGAGCTGCAGGCGAGTGGTTCTGCAGTAAACTTTGACATGTTATGACGAAATTTATCATCAATAAGAGGATAGATGCATAAAAAACTGATGTCAATTTGTTTTTTACAATAAGAAGACCCCAAAATGGTCAAAAGCCGGGAATAAATGAGGGGAAAAGACACC